TTGTTGTAACGTGTTGGCAACTAGAGCGCAGTCATCAGCGTATTGAAGTTCTGTGATGAATTTTGTACGTGTTTTTGCCCTGAGTCTTTTTATGTTGAACAGACCGCCGTCGTATCTGTATCTAATGCCCAAACCTCTCTTCTGCAGTTTGCTGTCCACTATAATGGTGAGCACTGCCATGAATTTGTTGAATAGGAGAAGCGCTAAGACATATCCCTGCCTAACGTCTGTGTTTGTTAGGAAGGGATCGCTCAATGATCCAAGACATGACACTCTTGATTTGTTGTTATTATGGAGGCTTTTACACACTGTAAGAAATTTGTTGGGTACTCCGAACTTTTTCATAATCGCCCAAAGCGCATCTCTGTTCACAGAGTCGAAGGTTTTTGTTAAATCGATGAATGCAACAGAAAGTTTAGACTGCTGCTCTTACTTTTTCCTGTAGTTGGCGGATGGAAAATATGGAATCGACAGTGCCGCGATTGGTACGAAAACCCGTTTACGATTCTGGAAGATTTTTTTTCTATATAAGGGTGCAGGCCGTTTGACATGATTTTTGCAAGAATTTTCCCTTTGATAGCCAATAGTGAAATTCCCCGGTAATTTCCGCAGTCTGTGTCGCGGTGATTAACCCCCCTCCCAATCATTCTAACACCCAATCATTCATTCACACAATATGTAACACATTCTTTGACTAACTATTAAATAGTGGAGTAAAGTTATTATTATCCTATAACATATTAACCTAAGCTTCCTAAACTGAATGAATATCCGAGTTACACTGTTGACCTAAATTTTATTCTTTAATAATTTTTATACTTTTGATATCAAAAATAAAATATAACGTCTCTTCTATGTCAAAGAGGAAAACTTCTACGCGAATATAAAATAAATACGAGACATTATTCACGTTCACATGCGGAGATATCCGAGATCTGGCGAAACGTTAACTTGAAAAATTAAAAGACATTCCTTACAGGATGCTGTAAATAAAGTTTTTCGTCGTAGCGACTCCATAAAGGGGAAGTCGTTTATTTCCAGATTCGGGATAATTTCGAATGCGAACGACATTTTTTAAACGAAAATGCATTGCTCTGACAGAGATAAAACGGTCTTAATGTATTCCGAACTTTTTTTACAACCTTGCCCAGAAATTTGTGGAAATAAATAAATAAATGTCAATGTAATGTTTTATTATGTTATTCCAGTAGCGCAATTTAAGGGTTAATAGTTTGCTATTTACTTCTAATAATAAACAATTATATCAGATATCCAGTTTACAATGCTTAAATATAAAATATATCTATATCTCCAATTAAGTAGTTGAGAATCATAGATTCATAAGTTATGTATAAGTTATATGTGTTACAGTAAAAGTTTGGAAATCAGTGATTGTTAGATAAAAATTACAAGTAAAAGCTCACATTCACTGATTTACTAAGACTACGCCAGTAAAAATTCAACAGCTATTTTTGAATGTGTAGTAGATTAAATTTACAAGAAATGAAACCAAGAAAAGGTCCAGTGGTTCTGAAAATATAAGTGAAAAATCTTTTTTTTTTAATTTTCAAAGTAAAATATCCCTGTTATTTTGGACTTATTTTAAAAACGGAAAAGAGAAAATATGTTTTTTTTTATCGAGATCTACCAGCCCCGAAAATATTTGCGCTTATTTAAAACTTACCCTGTATAGTGACATTTAATATAATAAATATGTATATACATTTAAAAAATAAAAACGTTAAACGTTTGTAGCTATGAAATACACCAACATCGGACCTATGCTTTTCCAAAAAAAAAAATCTTATTTTTACGAGAGGTGTTACGAGAGATGGCACATGTTTTTTCGAACATCCACTGTTTAGCTTGCATGTCTTGAAACTACAATTTTCAATTTAATTTTATGCTGCGAACTTTAGAATAGAAATTTAGTCATTACCTATATATTTATAGTAGTATTTTTATTACTATTCTACTAAATATTATTTATACTAATTAACTAAACAAGAAGAACATTTTTAACAATCCGTTGGTCTGTTTATCTATTATACCGTGCTGGCAATGGTTACTTTTGGGTCGGCATTTACATGTGTGGAAGTAAATCGCATAGGGATCTTATTAAGTCGGAGTGAGAGAAACGCGATCGACCGACGTGACGCGCGACGGTGTGCTGTTGCGGCGTTGCCGATACGCCTTTCCCTATCAAGTGAAGTAAAATCACGATCTCAAACCGCTTATTTTTAAAAGACTTTTTTTCAAGAGATAACTAGATAAAATCATTAGACATGTTTCGGAGCATCTGAAATGGAATTATAAGGATATCGTTAGGGTGTCATTTTTTTTATAACGAGAAAACGTCAGTAATCGCGATAAGTTAAAAACTCAACTTTTTAACACATAACAGGCATATCAAGAACCACTTTAGATATTGAAACGTTTTTTTATTTTCAAGATCGGATATTTTAGAATATGTTTACATAAGAAAAATTCGATAAGGTTGGTTTTTTGTATTCAAAAATTGTAAACAATCCATTCATTTACTTTTAGAGCATAGCAATTTTCAGCAATCGTGTAATTTTTGTATTGATAAAGATTTTCACATACTCTCTACAAAGAAAATACAGCAGAACTATTAACAAAGTTCTTGAAAAAACTACAATCTATTATTTCTAATAGATTTCGAGATATCGATTTTTGAATTCAGAGTTCTAATAGCGCGACCACTATAGAACACCCACTCAATTCCACTTATTTTTACCAAAAATGCAAGTGTTTCTAGCTTGCACTTAAAAAAATTCAAGCTATAGGGAAAATTACAACGATCCGTTAATAAATGAACAAATTAAGTATCACGAGACGTAATTAAATCGTGAAGCTGAACGCATGACGTACACCTTTCCCTAGAACTTTAAGTACTGACAGAGGTATTGATTGGGTCGACCGGTCAACTGCGACAAATCTGCTATATCCCCTTCCACGTCTCTTAGCGACGTGCACAGTTTCTCGGTTTATTTCATATGTTTGGCAACGTGTTTACTATCCTCTCTTTGTTCAGTACATTATAGACGCATTGTACTACAGTGTATTTGTATAAACTAAATAACAAAGAATAATAATGTAAATGAAAAATAAAAAGACAGATGGAATTGTAAAATCGCTTATATCTGGGACTTACTCAATCGGGTCTCACAATGCAAATTCACCTCAAATATCCATTTAGTTGGTAATTGGCAAGCAGGCTCTCATTGTGCATGAAAATAACAAAACAAACATTTACTGATCTGGATAAAATTGATAGTTAAATAGTAAAACTCACCCGGGGGTACTCCGCCCCCTAGCCAATGGTATTCTATTCATCATATCACATTCCATATCTTCCATCTAATTCAAATATTATTCGGATCTATTGGTTAATCTTCAACAACTAGCTGGCGTCACCTGAAATAAGTATAGGGGCTTTCCCCGGACGCAAATCTGCAGCCAAACAGATTCGCATCCCTAATAGTCACTAAGACTTGTATTCTAATAGTCAATAAGACTCGTATCCAAATAGTCAATAAGACTCGTATCCTAATAGTCAATAAGATTCGTATCCAAATAGTCAATAACACTCGTATCCTAATAGTCAATAAGACTCGTATCCTAATAGTCAATATATACTATAGTATAGTATATCCTAATCCTTTATACCTAACCTAATCTAACCTTAGTCATAAGACTCGCAACCTCCAAACGTCAGCTCTGTGACAAAACTATGGAGTGTAGAGGTAAGGAGAAACAACTCCGTGCATTAAAAAATGGTCAAAAAAAGGGAAGAATTAGGATGGCGCTGCTGTAGCAAAAACCTAAAATTTAAGACATGCGCCGAACATTTTTAGAACAGCTGATTCAAAAGACATAAATATTTGACGTGAATCATATACGTGAAGCCACGGGTTTCAAAAAAATACAAATTTATTTTCATGTCACATGAAATAAATTACAGATTTTTATTCAGCAGCAATAGACTAGGCTCTTTTTTTATTGCTCTCATAAGTTATTTCGCAAATGTCATTCAAGACGACGAAAACATTATTCTGATCGTTTTAGCTTAAAATTAAAGTTAATTATAATTAAGAAAAAAATGATTTAAAGTAATGATTGGTGATGGGTTTAAAATAAATATAATGCAGCTTTAAAATAACTTCATACCTACATTTATTTAGTATAAAAGTAAGTCAACATGTGGTTTTATTATCGATTATTCAGAAGCAATAGACTGAGCCTCTTTTTTATTTTTTCTCATAAGTTATTTCGTAAATCTCATTCAAGATGAAAAAAAGCTTTAGTTTAAAATTAATGTTAATTATAATTGGGAAAACTTTATTTAAAGTTTAATTGATGATATGGGATTTAAATAAATATAATGCAGGTCAAAAATAACGTAACACATTTTATTTAGTATAAAAATTAAGCCAATATAATGTAATTTTATACTGTACAAGTATTTATTTACGTTTTGCCATCGTAGTTGCCATTCATTCAGAATAGTGGATTTTAAATGTTCGATAGTCGGATGGCTTAACTACCTTAATATCAACTACTTCTAGACAAGAATCGTGTGCAGTATTATCTTCTTTTTCACTCCCAGCTATTCCAACATGGCTTGCATGGCTTGGGACGTGGAATAATATAATTTTATAGCCCTTCCAGATCCTCATGTCTTCCTTGTAGTTCACCCAATAGAATCGTTCTCGCAGCTTCCTCCCAAGTTGGTAGTTGCTATTCATTCAGAATAGTGGATTTTAAATATATTTGGTAGTCGGATGGTTTAACTATCGTAACAATAACTACTTTTAATAATTCTTTTTCTCAATTCTTTGCACTATAATTTGCATCCCACGTATTGTAATATTTTCCTTTGAATTCCGTTTCCTATTGTCCCATGGCTTGAGACGTAATGTTATAGCCCTTCCAGATCCTCATGTATATCCCTTTTCCTTGTATTGGGTGGACAATAGAACCTTTCTCTTAGCTTCCTCTCAAGTTGGTAGTTTCCATTCATTAAGAATAGTGGATATTAAACATGTTTCGTACTCGGATGGTTTAACTACTGTAACATCATAAATAAATTGTATACCAACACATAATGGCCAAACTTCAACAGACTTTAATATTCATAAACCTCATCAGAAGAAAATATTTTTTGATCCAAAGTTTTTTTTTCGTTATTAGAATAAATTACCTGGAATTTGTTAATTCATTACAACATTGAATAAAAGATGCAAAGTGTTTATACATACTATGATAGATAAATCTTTATTTAAAATTATGTGATAGATCTGCTTGCTTGTAGGATCTAGACTGATAAACTCAATTTCTTTTATTGATATAACCAATAAAGTAGTAATGCTGAAATTTTGTTTTTGATTTGTGCAATAAGGTCCATTATTTCCATTATTTGATGCTGTTATTGCTCTACAAAATGTTGATCTCTATCAAGGGATGTTTATGTGTATAATATTACTATTTATGTGTATAATAATACTGTATGATCGAAAAAACACGGCGTCCAGTTGGCTTGGAATGACATCTCGATGACATTCTCCATATCATTTTACATATAAAATGACAGCAATCTTCATTTCATAGGCATCGCTGACGCTGTCGTAAATTTTATTCAATCAAATTGTACTTACGGGTATAATATTCATTTAATGGTTCCTGTTTTAGTTGCTGGTGTTCATATTTTGGTTTTTTATTCTGTTGTTGCTCTACAAAATGTTAATATTTATGTGTATAACATTACTCTTTCTTTGTATAATAATACTTATGTGTATAATATTCATTTAATGGTGCCCTTCTTGCTTGTTGCTGTTGTTGCAACTCAGAATTTAAATTAACCTGAGGCAGTAGGTAGAGCTTCATCCTCCAACATTTTCCTATGTAAATACTGCAAGTGGACAGTATTTCTGATGACAATTTTATCATAAACTTTAACATCTTGTTCTTTAAAACGAAACTGCCATACCTTATCTGTAGATTTCAAAGCAATATCTAAATGCTTTTGACAATCGCTGTAATCTAATTCTTGTTTGAAAATCAATACCTAATATTATCCTGATGATTTTGATTTTTGACACATTATTAAAATACAGCACTTACAGTTAACTATATTTCTTGAAAGTACCTACAACTTTACTTATTTCCTACTTTGTATGTACATCATCTGTAATAATCTTACGAAAAATGTTTACTACACTTTTGATTGACTCTAATTTTTACATATAATACAAATAATACAATACTGAATTATATTATGTATTTTACAGGCTTTGCCTTTGCTCTTTATTTTTCCATCAGCTATTCAATCAACTTCGCACCACACACACTTTAACCATTGTTAAATAATAAATAAAGCACAAAATATTGATAAACAATAATTATTTTATATTCTAAAAAATAAAAAAAACTTTTTTTGGGTAATGTTTGGTTATATTTATTTTTATTCTCTTATCTATGGTTACTTTTCATTTTTTAGATTTATGCGTTTTTAGCGCCACTGTGGTCATTTGGCGAACCCTTATTCTTCCCATTTTGTGACCACTTTTTCAATAAAAGTCCCATAAGAGTTATTTCTCCTTACCTCTACACTCCATAGACAAAACACAACACAACACTACTACACAGCTGGCTGTCCCGTCTCCTACCGACTGACCTGCCGCGCGTCGGCAAGCAAAGCCTCCTCTTACATCACATTTTTACCTGCTCACAAATATTTACATCGCTTGCCAATGAATCATACTGTTTTCTCTAATCGACTTTCAAATTAATAGAGTGTTCTAGCATTGCTAGATAAATAAATAGAGAGTTTCCGAATTATAAAACCATTATTATAACCAACTTATTTTCCAAGTTTTACAGAATATAATAAGTTTTACATAAATGTTTCTGGAAAACAATAGTTGAAATGATTCATTGATTATATTTTTTATTATACCCGGTAATACTATACTAAAAAATGTCTGCAGTTATTCTTTAATACTGTTAGATACTGTAATAAATTTAATATATTTCTTTTTTCGTTTTATATTTTAGTTTTGTTTGGATACGTTGGAGAATTGTAAAAACTTTTAGTCCAGAGACAAATATCCGGCCATTTTAACTTTTAGTGTCGGAAAAAGTTCTTTTGTGCACTGTTTATTGAATTAGACGAGAAACACGCTTTTTCTTTTCAAACTCCAGCAAAAATAGCTTTACGATAAGAAAGTTTCTTTTGGTAAAATGTATAAACATGTAAAGAAAACAATACCTTGCGAACTTCTGGAATTGATATAATGCAACGCCATAATATTTTTAACTTAGGACCAGCTTGTTTTTGAAATATTATAGAACTTTATTAATAATAAATTTTGTTTGTCTTAGTGTAATTTAAAATCCATATTGCCACTCCAGTTTTAATTCAAAAACATATTGATATTATTTCATGGAAAAAATCTTACTTCCATGTAACATGTTAACTTAATTCTTCGAGTACTTATGGAAAATTACATTGAGGGTTGGGACCTATGGTGTTACACAGCAAAATAAAAACACTAAATCACCACAATACACCAAAACACTTTTACTTTTACACTGGACGCGCGTTTCGCTAACCATGTTAGCATCATCAGCAGATGATTATAAACTAAAGTACAATCTACAAGTTGAGCGTTTATATACTCGCTCAGTGGGCACCGAGTGGGCGTGGCAAAATCTAGCCAACCGAGTCAGAGCCCACTGAGCGTAACAGTTAGATTTCCGCCACTAGAGTAGTAGGAACAAAGAACTTGAAGGAATTGGATCGTTGTCTCTGTTCATGCTATCTTTACATTTATTAATTCTGATGCTTTCATTCATATGCATCTAATGTCTGTAATTTGAGACTGGTTTAATTAATTTTAACTTTTTAAGAGCTATACAATGTTCTTTATCAACAATATGTTCGGCAACGCAAGATTTATCCGGTCTACCATATCTTATCTGAGCTAAATGTTCTTTAAATCTAGTTAATATTGATCTTCTAGTTTGCCCAACATATTTCTGATTACAATCTTTCATAAATTTCATAAATACCCGACCTTCTCAGTTTTATTTAAATTCTGCAAAAATCGCAACAATTTACACTTCTTTTCAACTTGTTTCCTACAAGAATAGTAACAACAAACGAAGTTAAAGAAATAAGAAAAACTACTATTTCCAGAGGCCATCTTTTAAAGGAAACTCAGCCTTACAGAAAGTTGGAATGGCGCAACGAACAAGAAAATCCTTCGTAGTTTTGAAAAATCGCGGAGAATGGACGACTCCTGGGACATTGATCGATGAACTATTCATATGAAAATGTATGGCGTAGTTGCAAAATTTTAAATCGGCGATTGTGCGTGAAGAAACAACGTAAGGTACTTTAGAAAATGTCAGTTTACTATGTAGGTACATTTTTTAAATATACAGGGTGGCCCATCGGAAACGTTCCGGTGAAGTTCGCAAATTTTTCATGGCTCATATTGAAAAATGTTTAGTTCATCCTCAATTAAATATGCAAAATAATGTGGATTTTTGCAAATATTGTGAACCTATAACTTTCGATTCTTCTTCTTCTATTAGCAACTGATTTCTTCTTCTATTAGCAAGGAGCTCATAATTATTTCTTGTTCTTTGTCATATATTGTCGAGAAATATTAAAAAAAACACGCCTATCACCGCAAACAGGACTCCGGAAGCGACTGATGAGAAATTCGATTGGCTAATACGGGTGTAGTAGGGGAAAAAAGAGTTTTTTATTGAGTGGTCACGGAAATTTTGGCAGTTACCTGTGTAAAATTGGAAAGAGGGAAGACGCGGAATGCCGATACTGTGCTGAACCCAATGATACTCCAGAACACACAATGTTTGCTTGTCCAAGATGGGAACAGGAAAGATGTGAGGCACGCATGACGATTGGTGGCAACATCTCCGCAGATACCTTCTTAAAATCGGTAACAGAAAGAAGAGAAAACTTTGAAGCCATCTCAAAACTGGCCCAAAATATACTAGAGGCAAAATACAGCGAAGAGCAGGGGTAATGAAAAAAAAAAAGAAACAGACCGGCCTCTACTTGAGGAGATGCGTCCAGCGGGTCCAGGTAGACGTGGCAGGAGCGAGGGAGTGATGTTTAAAGGGGGCGAAGGGGAAAAAAGAAACAAAATAGCGAATAGTGCGGCGCGTGAGGCGCATTCGGTACGACTCAAAGAAAAAAAGTGCGATTCGTGCGGTGCGTGCGGCTCTGGTCAGTGTACGCGTACCTTAATTATTAATTAAGGTACTATTACTATTAATTCTAGAATGCAACTTGAAAACCATAAACTTCTTTAGTTATATTAGTCTTTATAGTTTCGAAAGTATTCTGTCAAATATGACACTATTTGTTACGCCAATGCTACTATTTTAATACCGAACTCGAATAAAAATAAAAAATAAACTTTATTTTCGACATTTGTGCCATCAAATTCTATGTTCATTTGCTCTGAAGTCGGTTTGGTATTTGACAAAGAGAAGAATTCAATATGTAGACAATTTTATTGTAATGTTTACTGCTTCCTGTATTATATCGTAAGAAAATTGGGAAAGAAATAAAAACTAATATTCCAGCTTTTCCCGAAAAATTTCATTTTAAAATACGCGTTTACGTTTTTATTTAAAAGAGTTTTACATATATTGCTCTACGGAGTGTCTTAGAAACAATAATTACATACAGGGTGAGTTTTTTACAATGTTCTCTATGACTAAAACAAATTATTGGGGTAAGCTACTTTTGAAAAACGCCCGGTATATGGTGTTGTTATAAAGGCTCTTATTTTTTGTTCTTTTGTCTTATTAACGATATTTGTGTATATCCCGAAGGTGATCCTGTTAATCAAGTTGTTTGAATATCCGAATTATTTAAACTCCGGCAGATAATCAGTGAAAACGTTCAATCTACATATACATACCGCCATTACTCGCTGACGAGTATTTGACACGCATCAGAAGATGGTCACGCAAGGCGTTTTCTTTCATGAGCTTTTCTGTGACTGAAAAGCCCGATGCGTGATGTTATCTGTCTACCGCACTCCGGACATTCAAAAATCTCATTGCTCTGTTGACTCTTTTGCTCTGTTTTGTCTTTTTTTAACTATATATATAAAGCTGGGGTCCTACAGCTTCTGCCGCATCCCGCATTTCGACCTCCATACTGCTCGATTTTGCCATTCTTCCTGGTTAATAGCTCTGTCTCTCATGTACTGGTCTACTCCATCTAACCACGTAGTTGTAGGTCTTTCTCTTTTCCTTCTGCTTTGGGGACGATACTCCATTGCCCTTTTTGGCCATCTTTCCCCTCCCATTCTTTTTACCATAGTAGCTGTCTCGATTCGATGTTGTCGGTGCTGGTATATATTCGCCTTGTTCTTTGCCTAATCTCCTCATTTCTAATGTGCTCCATCCTCGATATTCGACATGCTCTTCTGAGAAAGTCCATCTCCACTGACTCGACCATCCTTCTTTCTTTTGCTGTAAATTGCCAGCATTCGGCACCGTATGTTAAAATTGGATCTACGATTGCTTTGTAAATCCTTATCTTTGTTTGGATGGATGTTTTATTTGACCACAGGAGAGGGTTTAAAAGACCGATTACTTTCTTACCTTGTGAACTCTACTATGTATATCTTTCTTGGAGTTCTCTTCTTCAGATATAATACTTCCTAAATATTTATATTCGCTACATCTTTTAATTTCATGTATGTGTAGTTTAGGATCTTCAGTTTGTTCTTCTCCTACTTTCAGGTATTCGGTTTTTGTGAGGTTGATATTGAGTCCCCATCTGTCGTATTCTTCATCAAGTTTCCTCAACATATAGTCGGCATCCTCCTCACAACCTGCAACAATAACTTGGTCGTCTGCAAAGAACAAGGTCGATAGACAGTGGTTGTCAATCTCTATTCCCATAGCTCTACTCTTCCTTCTCCAGTTTTTCAATGCCTCCTGGATATATATTTTAAATAAGGTAGGTGATAAACTGCACCCCTGTCTAAGTCCTTTAGATGTCAGGAAGGATTCCGATAGGAACTTCCCCTGTCTGATCATACTTTTTGGATTTTTGTACATATTCCAGATTGCATTGATATATGTTTTACTCACATTTGCCTCAACCA